AGAAGGGGAGCGCGCTGAGCGAAATTAACGAGCCCTTCTTTATCACCTTCGATGAGTACCACCTGCCACTGCTCCAGCACAGGGTTTTCACCGACTGGAGGGTGCTGGTGGTTGCCTTCACCACCTTGAGCGGCTCAAACTACAGGGTGATCTACGTGAGACCGGTAAGTACAATACGATCGTTGCCCATACGGTCTTTTTCAGTGCATTTTTTTTCCATTGCCAGATGTGCACCGGCCTTGGTGTATTGGGCGGCGACGAAATTAAGGAGGGAGTGCGTGAGGTGGCGCATTACATCTTTGACGTGCCAAAACTGAAGAAGATGTTCCTCGGCGCCGTCGCCGACAATTGCCCCGCCAACAACCTTGCGAAGGATTACCTCCTGGGCCTGGGAATTCCCGTCTTGTACGACCACGAGCATCTATGTGGCCGATTCGCAATGAAGAGCCTGAGGGACGTGCGCCTCAGATGGGTGTACGAGGACGCAGCGTTCCGGAAGGCGTCGTACAAGGCGGTAATGACCCAGCTCAGGAGCGCACCGGCCTTGGATGGCCAAGCGGCGGAGTATTCCGTCCAGTTAGAAAGGATAGAGTCCTTCCTGGATAGGGCCTTCGCTGCGACGGATCCATCCAAGGTCCGGTTGCGAAAAGTCAACGCTCGGTTGTTCGAGAGCGTAGGGAAGGTCTGAACCGAGCTGCTGGTGCCCGCCTTCGATGAGGCATTTCTGTTGTGGGAGGCGGACAGGGCAAATGTTATTCATTTCGCTACCATAATTGTGGCCGCTTTCGCCTACCTAGAGAGGCCCATGGACGAAATGCCAAAGTAAGTAATTTTCATATTCTTGCGAACATTTAATAAATAAATTTCTATAATACAGGCTGGTTTTCCCACCCGAGAGCTCTGGAGAGCCTGGCGCCAAACGAAGAAAAATATAAAACAGCCAGCAGTCGTTTTTAAAATAAATTTTGAAAAAAATGCCTAAAATGTTTTCTCAGCTGCGGATTGTGTATTGGTTAAAAAAAAAGCTGCCCCTTAGGGGCGCTATGAATTTTTGAAGTAAGAACTTAAAAAAGGTTCTCAAACTTCTAATTAGTATATTTCGGGAACGGCTTAGAGGAACAACGTACAACTTTACACTTTTTTAAATGTGTACTAGGGAATTAGGAAATATTTTCTTAAATTTTTTGTTGTCCAAAAAGGATGAATTTTATTTATTTGAAATTTTCTATCGCGGTTTTTTTTTTTTTAAAAAATGCATTTAAATTGTTTAAAAGGCTGGCTTTGAAAATTTCAGGGACCGAAAATAATGAAAAATAGTAGAAAAATATAACAATTGAATTTTTATCATTACCAAGTAATTTTATTATTTATTTACGGTCCAATACCGCATTGCCAGGAGATCCGATTTATGGCCATCTGGTCCGTTTCTATGCGAACTAGTCTCTCAGTTTTGAAGCTATCGCAATGAATCTTTCCCTTTCTATTGCAGATAGTAGATATGCCGGAACCAGCCGTATCGGACAACTATAATCGGAAATCGGAAAAATAATGGGGGAAAATTCTAGTTTCGGTGTTTTTTTAAATGTTACCTTTTTTATATATTTCTGAATTTCGGATTAAATTTTTAAAAAATATCATATAGCTGCCATAGGAAGGACAGAAAAAATAATGTCAAAATAATAGGAAACTTAACATTTTGCGACTCTAAATTAATAGGAATGATCTGCAAGTCGAAATGAAATAAAAGAAAGCCGAAATGGACGTAAATTTAGGAAAAAAAATTAAAAAAACTGCATGCATTTTGGCTGAAAAGGTAACTTTCTGGCCCAGTGTGCGTCGTCAAATCCAAATAGCCAAAGCAGAATCCGCGAAGGAATCTCACATGTGTGTGTGTGTCGCCAAATTGGAAATCTGTCTCTCAGGAAAAGAGCACGGCGAAGAAAAATTCGAACAAATAGGAAAAAATGCTTATTTTTTAATGATTTTTATGATTTTTTGACGCATGACTTTATTATTTGTATGTTATTAATATCTCTGATTCTTATATCGAGTTTTCAATGCTTAAAATATTGGACTCGGACATTATTTTCCATTTCCATTTTGGATGGAGATCTATCATTCTCTTTCTATTGCATTTGTGTTGGTTCGAGCTTCTGATGGTTTTTCGCGCTTGCATTTGTGTTGGTGCGAATTTTTCAAAAATCCGTGTCTGTTGCAAGTTCCTCGTTCATTTCAATTTAGACAGGCAACACGATGTCGCAAAATTATTACTACGGTAATACTACTGTAAATAACTTTAATTATTCGGTAAGTGTTTTTTTTAATTATTGCTAAAATGATTTTAAATGCGACTAAATAAGTACGCGACCTAAAATTAAACATAGATACGTTTTTGACATTTTAGCTGTGTGAAAAACACCTCCTGTGTTAAAGTCACATTGTGTAAAAAACACGTCGTGTTAATAACATGTTATAACACCAGTTATTTACACTGTGTGTTATTGTCCGAACCCTGCTTTAAAACCATGTTTTGGACAAACTGACAAACAGAATTATCACTAATAAATGTATTATTTATTTATTCTATTTTTTTGCAGAGCGCTCGTGAGAGGAGCCGGAGCCGCAGCCGCGGCCACAGGCCCAACGGCTGGGAAGGGCGTCGTCCACGACCTGATATGGTCGGACGGGACGGCGCCCAGGAAAGGAGCAGTAGTCCGCGATCCGCCCAATTCACACGAGTGGCAGTAACAAATAGGCGCGTCCAGCACGTAGATGCACGGGGGCGGCTTTGGGAGACCAAGCCGTTCCAGTGCAGCGCGTGCTGGACGCGTCTGGTGAATAGGAAAAACTGCTTAAGCCACAATTGCTTACTTGAGTATAGGGCTCACCCCTGCCCAAATTGCCCCTTTGTGGGCTTACATAGCCTCAATGGCCACAGATGCTATGGGGAAAACGGGGTGCCGTATATCCCCGATACATACCATCGGAGGTTGCGGTACCACTGGCGGAGGGCCAGAACAGTTAGGGAGCCAAGTCCGCACACCCCCCAAGTGGGAAGCCAGGGCCCTGGGTTTTCAGTTAGTTTTCGTTTAAGCCTAAAGTTTATTTGTGAAGCCCAGGAAAGTGAAGTTTCACAATCGGTGTAACAAAAACCGCATTGAAAATTATTTCCCTGCCAAGAGAAGCAGAGTGGGTTATAAGATGCCAACTGTTTTGCAGTTAGTCATGCCAGAGCAGTTTATTCTTCTGTGTCGTAGGCGACCGATTAGAGAACTTCGAAGATCGAAAAGAAAATCGCTACGGACTGGCAGGTATTCTGCCGAATTGGCATCAGCATCCGACTCAACGAAATTCTTGGAAATGAATAAAAATTAAGGCGACAAGCTTATGAATCCCTCGAAAGCACTGTTTGAAGTAACAATGCTACAAGTAGTGATTTTCGAAAAAGAAGGGCGTAGTTCCCCAACCAACTAGTTATTTTGAAATCAATGACAGGCACTCAAACTGGTTTGGCCCATTAGACCCATGTGCAACACATAGAAAAGATATCCTTAAAAGGTTACCGGAATCTTTGCTGAAAGAGCATTACAAGAGGTACATTCTTGATTGGTTTAGGGGCTGTCCATATATTACGTAATCACCTAGGGGGGGGAGGGGGCATTGAAATGATTATGTTTGATTACATGGGGAGGGGGGTCTTGCACAATGATTACGTAATCATTTTATATACATTTTTAGATTTAAAGAATTTATTTAAAAACTTTTTTCCTTTAATTATATCTATAAACTTAGATAGGAAAGCGGAAAAAAAATGTTTAGTGGCTGGACGGCGAAAAAGAGAATGTTCAATCACACGAAGGACGCGAAGACCTGGAATGGCTTGACGAAGATAATTTCAGCGTAGACGAACCGAATGTGTCATACCAAACTTCATTTATAAACAATATTAAAGATTGGGTTGCATCTCCGTTTGAATCCACAGATTAAAACACAAAAAAATTTATTATTGGGATTACGTAATCATTGGGGGGGGGTGTTTATTGAATGATTACGTTTGATCACCAGGGGGGGGAGGGGGTCAAAAATCACCAAAAACGTGATTACGTAATATATGGACAGCCCCTTACCAGAAAAGGAGCGTCAATCATGATTGACAAGCAAACAAAATTAAACAAAATTTTAAAAAAGGAATAAGTCCCTTAATAATATTTACAAAATAAGCTGATAAGCTAAGACAGAACCAGTGCAATGAAGAATGAGCAAATACCCAAATGGTCCGGTCTACCGTACTTTCCTTCCCAGAAAAATCCCGAAACGCCAAGTACAGAAATCTGTGAGAGTCAGTATATTTTCTGCTAAAGCTGGCATTACTAGTGAGAACATACCCCCTCAGCAAATTAACATAGATAGCCAAGATGCAACCCTGCAGGTTAGCAAAGATCCGATCCTCGTCAAAATACAATAGATTACCAGACTTATGGATTTTGGGATTTGGAGCATCCTACGTACACTCTACAGAGGTGGAGAAACAAATGCATGCAGCATGGTCTTATTGAAAATCAGCTGGGTTGACAAACAGCACACAAATCAATTGGCGCCAATTTTAAAATATTACAAAATTATATTACAATTAGATCGCAAGCATTAAATTTGCGGTTGGAAAGGCGATATGTATTCCCGTTTTTATTCTTCCCTACCATAATAATAAAATTTTGGTTTTTGTATATTAATAACATTAAGAACAAAACTGCATTATTACTTTTCCCTTAAAAGCAATAGGAGTGGAAGAACTCCCAAAAAGGGGGTCGTCCGTAGAATTTTGTCCGCCACTGTACATTACAGTTATTATGGTTATGGCTTAAAAACTCCAGAGCGGAGCGGTGAGTTGCGGGGAGAGGGAGCGAAGGGCAGTGCAAGCAAGCGACACTGCCAACACAAATTAAAATCTAAACAAACAACACGAAATGGATCTATCAGAGATTTCCTATTTTAAAGAAAAAATGGGGATGCACTCGGTGACCCGAACTCTAAGTTACGTGAGTGGCAAGGAGGAGGCCATGAAGAAGGGGAGCGCGCTGAGCGAAATTAACGAGCCCTTCTTTATCACCTTCGATGAGTACCACCTGCCACTGCTCCAGCACAGGGTTTTCACCGACTGGAGGGTGCTGGTGGTTGCCTTCACCACCTTGAGCGGCTCAAACTACAGGGTGATCTACGTGAGACCGGTAAGTACAATACGATCGTTGCCCATACGGTCTTTTTCAGTGCATTTTTTTTCCATTGCCAGATGTGCACCGGCCTTGGTGTATTGGGCGGCGACGAAATTAAGGAGGGAGTGCGTGAGGTGGCGCATTACATCTTTGACGTGCCAAAACTGAAGAAGATGTTCCTCGGCGCCGTCGCCGACAATTGCCCCGCCAACAACCTTGCGAAGGATTACCTCCTGGGCCTGGGAATTCCCGTCTTGTACGACCACGAGCATCTATGTGGCCGATTCGCAATGAAGAGCCTGAGGGACGTGCGCCTCAGATGGGTGTACGAGGACGCAGCGTTCCGGAAGGCGTCGTACAAGGCGGTAATGACCCAGCTCAGGAGCGCACCGGCCTTGGATGGCCAAGCGGCGGAGTATTCCGTCCAGTTAGAAAGGATAGAGTCCTTCCTGGATAGGGCCTTCGCTGCGACGGATCCATCCAAGGTCCGGTTGCGAAAAGTCAACGCTCGGTTGTTCGAGAGCGTAGGGAAGGTCTGAACCGAGCTGCTGGTGCCCGCCTTCGATGAGGCATTTCTGTTGTGGGAGGCGGACAGGGCAAATGTTATTCATTTCGCTACCATAATTGTGGCCGCTTTCGCCTACCTAGAGAGGCCCATGGACGAAATGCCAAAGTAAGTAATTTTCATATTCTTGCGAACATTTAATAAATAAATTTCTATAATACAGGCTGGTTTTCCCACCCGAGAGCTCTGGAGAGCCTGGCGCCGAACGAAGAAAAAAATAAAACAGTCGGCAGTCGTTTTTAAAATAAATTTTGAAAAAAATGCCTAAAATGTTTTCTCAGCTGCGGATTGTGTATTGGTTAAAAAAAAGCCGCCCCTTAGGGGCGCTATGAATTTTTGAAGTAAGAACTTAAAAAAGGTTCTCAAACTTCTAATTAGTATATTTCGGGAACGGCTTAGAGGAACAACGTACAACTTTACACTTTTTTAAATGTGTACTAGGGAATTAGGAAATATTTTCTTAAATTTTTTGTTGTCCAAAAAGGATGAATTTTAATTATTTGAAATTTTCTATCGCGGTTTTTTTAAAAAAATGCATTTAAATTGTTTAAAAGGCTGGCTTTGAAAATTTCAGGGACCGAAAATAATGAAAAATAGTAGAAAAATATAACAATTGAATTTTTATCATTACCAAGTAATTTTATTATTTATTTACGGTCCAATACCGCATTGCCAGGAGATCCGATTTTTGGCCGTCTGGTCCGTTTCTATGCGAACTAGTCTCTCAGTTTTGAAGCTATCGCAATGAATCTTTCCCTTTCTATTGCAGATAGTAGATATGCCGGAACCAGCCGTATCGGACAACTATAATCGGAAATCGGAATAATCGGAAAAATAATGGGGGAAAATTCTAGTTTCGGTGTTTTTTTAAATGTTACCTTTTTTATATATTTCTGAATTTCGGATTAAATTTTTAAAAAATATCATATAGCTGCCATAGGAAGGACAGAAAAAATAATGTCAAAATAATAGGAAACTTAACATTTTGCGACTCTAAATTAATAGGAATGATCTGCAAGTCGAAATGAAATAAAAGAAAGCCGAAATGGACGTAAATTTAGGAAAAAAACTCAAAAAACTGCATGCATTTTGGCTGAAAAAGTAACTTTCTGGCCCAGTGTGCGTCGCCAAATCCAAAAAGCCAAAGCAGAATCCGCGAAGGAATCTCACATGTGTGTGTTTGTCGCCATATTGGCTGCCGCAGAATCCGAGCGTGTGCCTGTCTCTCAGGAAAGAGCACGGCGAAGAAAAATTCGAAAAAATATGAAAAAATGCTTATTTTTTAATGATTTTTATGATTTTTTGACGCAGGACTTTATTATTTGTATGTTATTAATATCTCTGATTCTTATATCGAGTTTTCATGGCTTAAAATCATGCACTCGGACATTATTTTCCATTTCCATTTCGGATTCATTCTCTTTCTATTGCATTTGTGTTGGTTCGAGCTTCTGATGGTTTTTCGCGCTTGCATTTGTATTGGTGCGAATTTTTCAAAAATCCGTGTCTGTTGCAAGTTCCTCGTTCATTTCAATTTCGGCAGCAGCAATGTCGCAACACAACTATTACGGGGCTGTGTATATTAATAATTATTCGGTAAGTGTTTTTTTTAAGTTTTGCTAAAATGATTTTAAATGCGACAAAATAAGTACGCGACCTGAAATTTACTTGCAAATATTTAATATCTACACGAAAGTTTTGGACAAACTGACAAACAGAATTATCACTAATAAATGTATTATTTATTTATTCTATTTTTTTGCAGAGCGCTCGTGAGAGAAGCCACAGGCCCAGCCGCAGCCACAGGCCCAACGGCTGGGAAGGGCGACGTCCACGACCTGATATGGTCGGACGGGACGGCGCCCAGCTGAGGAACCGCCGCAGCCACAGCAGCAACCGGGACGGCGCCCAGGAAAGGAGCAGTAGTCCGCGATCCGCCCAATTCACACGAGTGGCAGTAACAAATAGGCGCGTCCAGCACGTAGATGCACGGGGGCGGCTTTGGGAGACCAAGCCGTTCCAACGCAGCGCGTTCTGGACGCGACTTGTAAATAGGAAAAATTGCTCAGCTCACAATTGTATAATTGAGTATAGGTCTTACCCCTGCCCAAATTGCCCAAAACTTTGGATGTTTCCGGAAAATCTTCCATTTTATACCATTTCCCAAAAAATAATGCATTCCAGTTAGTTTTCGTTTAAGCAGCCTAAAGTTTATTTGTGAAATTCTGCCACACAAAAATACAGGAAGCCCAGGAAAGTGAAATTATACAATCGGTGTAACAAAAACCGCATTGAAAATTATTTCCCTACCCAGAGAAGCAGAGTGGGTTATAAGATGCCAACTGTTTTGAAGTTAGTCATGCCATAGCAGGTTATTCTTCTGTGTCGTAGGCGACCGATTAGAGAACTTCGAAGATCGAAAAGAAAATCGCTACGGACTGGCAGGTATTCTGCCGAATTGGCATCAGCATCCGACTCAACGAAATTCTTGGAAATGAATAAAAATTAAGGCGACAAGCTTATGAATCCCTCGAAAGCACTGTTTGAAGTAACAATGCTGCAAGTAGTGATTTTCGAAAAAGAAGGGCGTAGTTCCCCAACCAACTAGTTATTTTGAAATCAATGACAGGCACTCAAACTGGTTTGGCCCATTAGACCCATGTGCAACACATAGAAAAGATATCCTTAAAAGGTTACCGGAATCTTTGCTGAAAGAGCATTACAAGAGGTACACTCTTGATTGGTTTACCAGAAAAGGAGCGTCAATCATGATTGACAAGCAAACAAAATTAAACAAAATTTTAAAAAAGGAATAAGTCCCTTAATAATATTTACAAAATAAGCTGATAAGCTAAGACAGAACCAGTGCAATGAAGAATGAGCAAATACCCAAATGGTCCGGTCTACCGTACTTTCCTTCCCAGAAAAATCCCGAAACGCCAAGTACAGAAATCTGTGAGAGTCAGTATATTTTCTGCTAAAGCTGGCATTACTAGTGAGAACATACCCCCTCAGCAAATTAACATAGATAGCCAAGATGCAACCCTGCAGGTTAGCAAAGATCCGATCCTCGTCAAAATACAATAGATTACCAGACTTATGGATTTTGGGATTTGGAGCATCCTACGTACACTCTATAGAGGTGGAGAAACAAATGCATGCAGCATGGTCTTATTGAAAATCAGCTGGGTTGACAAACAGCACACAAATCAATTGGCGCCAATTTTAAGATATTACAAAATTATATTACACTTAGATCGCAAGCATTAAATTTGCGGTTGGAATGGCGATATGCATTCCCCCAACTCATGCAGGTGTTTTTCAGTGGTTTTCGGGTGTTTCCTTCCATTTTTAATTTGGTATTGGTTCTGCACAGCCAAATATCAACTTTGTTTTTCTACCCGCTAAATCTGGTAATTTTTCGGTATTTCCTTACTATTTCTATGGTTTGTCTGAGTACCGCGCACAGCAAATTTTACACTGCGTAGATATTAATTGTTGACAGTTTACATTCGACGTGTCGAGAATAGCGTCCTCTATCGACGAGGCTTTCATCTTCCGTTGGTCCATCTCTAGATGAATGGGGGAAATTTAAATAGTTTTAACAAAGTTTACCCTTAATAAAACTGTGAGACTCAACACTATTTCGCATTGAATATTTATGTTTATTTTCATACCGTTTATTTAACTACTATCAAATGAATGATCAAAACTTCACAATATTTGAATATCCAATAACGACCTTTTTGATCGACATTTTTGTCCAACAAATAAACATAATATCTCAGATAATAGGTGGCATTAATATGTCATTCTATCGTTACATCAAAAAGGGTACTCTGTTAATAAGATAGTAAAAAAATAAAACTGCATCTTGCATAGCATATAATATCAACTTGATTATAAACAAGTGACGAAAATATACAAAATAGTTTGAAAAGTGCCAATTGATTCCGCATAATATGGTACTATATGTAAGTATAAATTATAGTTGTAGCTGGAGTTTTATTTTCTAACCATCTTATTATAAAGATTTTTCTTTCAATGTGTGTATGTGTGCATGTCAATTTTACTAAACGTCAAACGAAACGATATGCATTTTCTATTTAACTATGATAATAAATATGTATATTTCGATTTCATTTTATTCCGTGTATATGAGCTTCCATTAAATATATATTTTTGCCTTTATGGTTGCATACCGATTTTTTTAATTTAGAGACAGTACTTGTCACAAAACAATCAGATCCATTTCAATTAATATTTATTTTAGAGTAGTCCTTATGTTACGTTAGTGCCCGTGTAAATATTTAGAAAAGTATGGATCCTTATTTTAAAAGCAGTAACATGTCAAAATGAAGCCAGGTGACATTTTGCAAGGCAAATTAATATGTAAATAATTCAACGACTTTTTTATATATACAAAAACCGTGGAATAGGTTTGAGGGGATTATGTATGCGTGTATGCGTTGTGTAAATACTGGCTCCTAAATATTCTCTTAGGAACAATGACTTTGTTTACTGTTGTAGTTGATTCTACCTAGGGATTTATTTATCTGCTTATCAACATTAAGTAACATTTGGTGCATTGCGTAGGTGGCCTTTCATTCCTTCAAAATATATTTGAGTTTTAAAAAACATTCCGCAAAAATAAAACAAATAAATCATATAAGCACACAAATCGAATGTATTTCTCATCTCTGCCGAATAGGGCTATGTTTTTTACAATATATGTATGCAATAGGTTTCTAAATAACTTTATTTATATCAATATTTCTATATCGTCTTCATTAGTTGCATTGTATTTAGCTGCTTTATTTGTAATATTAAATAACTTGAAGTTTATTCATGATTTTTTTTTTCAATTTCTTTTCTTTTATTTTTAAATTATATTTATAATTTAAGTATAATACATTTTGTACACATTTAAAAATTAAATTAAATAATAAAAGATTTGATATAAAAACGGTGTACCGCACACTGACACTGATAAAATAATAATTGGCTCTAAGACATAGAGTTTCCCTATCAACATACATAAATCTGCCTTTAATCATTAATCTTAGTGGGAGCAATCAACAAGTAGTGGAAGGGCATTACCAAAGTATAATACAGATTTTGTTTTTAAGATTAGAGGGTGCCATTTGTTTTTTTGCTTTATGGTGGACTTTCGTGGGTAACTTGGTAGCTTGGTCAATTGTTGAGTGACTAAGGGATCTTAACCTGTATCAGTCCAGTCACTTAAGGCGGCCTTTTAATATGGGAAAAATGATTGAAGTACTATTAAGTCGCAGAACATTAATTCCTTAATTTCAAATTTCACAAGCCCCGCTTAAAGACTGATATTCGGTATAAGATCTCTTACGTTCTTATGATTTCTATTACTCGAAGCAGATTTTTGTTTTGGCCTAGTGCTAAGCGCCATTAATGGGGGGTTTCTTTACTGTACTTGATGCGTTTTGCGTGTAAGTAACTGTATTTTAGGTTTTCTATATGCATATCTCAACATTAGTTATGTTTGCGTTAAGTATCTCTGATAACATCCATCCCATCCAGCCATCCATCCATCTTTGTTTGGCCTGATCCTGCCCCTGAACTTTAAACTAAGTTACGTTTTTTTCAAGCGAACCACACTTTGTCCCCCTGTTGACCCCGGAGGATTCGCTGCCTAGAGCTGCACCTGGAATGTCTGCGCCGGCGCCTTGGGCGGTGAGATGAACGGATTGGTGCTGTGCCTGGCAAGCGGCGAGCGTGCGGTGCTCGAAGCGGGCAAATCCGGCGACAATTGCTTGGCCGCCGCCACATTGGCCACCCATTCGGCGTCGAACGGATCGTCCGGGCCACCGCCTCCTCCTCCCGCAGCAGCGGCCAGTGTCTGAGCACGTCCCACATTGGCCAGATAGGTGGGCCGCTTGGGTGGTGCAGCCGGTGAGGTACTGCGCACCACATGACCCAACCACTGCTCGGCATTCGGCAGCTCCGTTGAGGTCTCGATGCTCTGCTCCGATCGCGTGGGCGACTGCGAGTGGAGCGTCTGATAAGTGGGCGTGGTGCTGCTGGCCACACGCGGCGTCACCTGCGCCGTGGGCGTGGCGCTGTACGAGATTACATGCTGCACCTGCTTCTCGGCGGCAATGATGTTCTGATTGATGCTGCGATTGTTGTTGAAATTCAGATCCTCGCCGGCTGCCAACAGGGCGTCCGTTTGGGTCAAGAGGGAGAGACCCTGGCTGAGCTCCTGGCACAGTTGGCTCACGGAATCGGCAGCTACCGCGGCTGCCGACGAAGGATCTGCTCCACCTGACTTGGCTGGCGAAACCTCGGCAATGGGCGAAACACTGCGCAGAGGCGTCTGCAGCGGATTCCCAGCGGCGGCGGCCAGGAAGGCCCGCTGACGATCGGCGTTGGACGGAAGATCGTTGACACGCAACGACATCTGGCGCTTGAACGGCGACTGGCTGCCGATGGTGCTCAAGCGGAAGGAGCTCTGCCGCTCCAGCATGTTGGGCGTGGCATGGGGCCGTTCGATGGCGAAGGGATTGTAAGGCTTGACGGTGGCCGCCGGAGGACCAGGCATTGCCGACCCAGGTCCATCCACGCTCCTCTCATTCGTGCCCACCGTGGCCATGGCCAGACGCTCCGTCAGCGTCTGCTGGCGGAACGATCCGGTCCGCGTGAAAGTCGAGTTCTTCGTGTCGAAGGTCATCGTCACGCCGCACTCCTTGTCGCGTCGCTGCTTCCGCTCCAGGCAGACGGCAAAGGCACAGCCCACCGCATGGGACAATCGCTCGCCGGAGTCCTTGCAGGCCAGGAAGCCGTGACACATCCAACGGCGAGTGGTTCCGTCGCGGCAAATGTAGCTGAAGCCGCGCTCGTGGTTGCGATCGGGTGCACAGAAGCTGACCTTCTCGATGGTCTGGTCCACAATCAGGCCCTTGGTCTCGTCGTCCACGACTCGCAGGCCGTCTCCGCTGACATGAAGTAATCCGCGGACAGGACGACGACGGGATTGCTAAGTAGGGGAGTGGATTGATAAGTAATTGATTTCAATTTGATGTAATATTAAGAAGGACATAGAAATGCACTGAATAGGACTTTGGTTTAAAGGATGAAGAATTTAAAAAAAAATATAATACTCACAAAAAAATAAAATAAAATATAATAATAAAATAAAATATATAAGTAAGTACATAAAAAAAGCTAATCTTTGGAAAATTAAAAAAAATAAAATTTAATTTGGGATTTTTTTTTATTTATTTTTTTTTTTTTTTTATTTAATTGAAATTTTTGAATATCGATCGATTGCATTACAACCAAAAGATTCAACAGATTTAATATTAACCTCAAATGATAACCTTATAATGCATAAACTATTGGAACTCCTATTTTCCTATCACTTTTGTACATCTCCATGTCCTCCTTTACTATCTTCACTTTAGAACTTACCCTCAGGACCTTTAGGGCCTCCTCGCAGACCTGCATGCCGCGCGACTCAAAGACCTCGACACATCCCAGATACTTGACGGAGAAGGAGCAGGTGGCCGATCTCACGGCCTCCTCATCCGCCTGCCACTGATGCGGCTTCGAGGACTCCGGGACGCGATCCTTGCGACGCCTGAAGGAGTCGCGAAAGGAGCGACGCAGACGATCCATTTTCTTCGGCGATTTCTTGCTAAACCGGAAGGAAGCGGATTTCTGTGGGGCACAGGAAAGCAATACATTATTAAAAAATGAGTTATGTAAGCAACATTTAATTAAATTCAGAGAGAGAGATCGAAACAAGTGCGAGCAGTTCTAGCAATGCCAACCCTCTTTACAGCTGGGGATCGTATTGAACTGGAGTTTTTTCAAAATAAAACCTACCCCATTTTTAACGTCACCGAATTTTCCGCGTTGGAAGCCGCGCTCGAGTGGTTCGTGCGTGTGTGACGAGGAGTTTCCCATGCCTGCTCGCTGGCCCTCTCCTCTCGCTCGCACTCACTGGACGACTCCTTTTTCCTTTTCCTTCTAAGCGTGAGTAAATTGTCGTGAATAACCGTTACAAGCTGCGAACTGACAGCGTTGCCAGATGTCACTTGGGTTTTCTTATTTCGGTTTATTGATCCGTTTATTGGACTGCGTTCGAATGCGCAAATTTATTTGTTCATTGAATTTGAGTTACTGCTTTTGATTAAATTAAATTGATTGGCGATCTGGAAAATGTGTGGAGAGTGTTGTGGTTATAGTTTTATAGTTTTGGGCCGTTATCAGTTCTGACGTCTCCAATATGCATGAGTCACACGCCCTCTTTATCGCTATCGACACATTAAAGCACTTTGGTTTATCGGCTTTTGAGTTTGATTCAACGCCCCCTCGCGATTGTCATTGAGTAGAGATCAAATGTGTGTTTCGAATGGATGGTACATAATTTTTGCCCCCAACCAGCTGTGATCCGCTAAAAGCTTTCGGTACGAGATACCGATACCAACCTCCACGGCTTCATGGCCCCAACTAGAACTGAAGTCAAGAGGAGCAATTAATGCCAACGGCCTCCAATCGCTTATCGCCCCTCCGTGGGCGGCGGGGGCTGTGGGCGTGGTGGCCAGTCGGGTGTCTCACGTAATTGTTTACACACATATTTAATATTTCATTCTCCTTTTCCCTTTTTTATTTTAGCATTTATTTGCTTTGACTTCGCCCGAGGCTTTTGTTTTCCCAGCGCTGCGGCGACACGGGCTGACATTTTTGTGACTTTATCACATGTCTCGTATTGCGGTAAACTGTTGATAAACTAAGCGTCCGTAATTATCGCAAAATCATAACAAAACCTGGTATATTTTCTTTAGTTTTTAGAAAAAAAATTAAAAAAGGAAAAAATAATATGTCCGATTTGTGGTCATTTGACTTTGTAGATTGTGCGGGGGTTATTTTTGGGCTTTTACCCGTTATATTTTATTTTTTATAAATACACTCAAGTGGGCACAAGATAAGCCCACTCAAATCACGTTACCCAACGTTTTCTTGATGTCTAACTTTTTTGAAATATTATCTAATATTTATGTGAATTAAATAGGGGTAATCTGTTCCCTGTCCGCTGGCTATTTGCATGTCTCTGAGTCTCTGAGAACCTAAAAGCCCGAGTTGTCATATGAAAAGGCCTCAACCTCAGTCTTCCCACCACTGCATTTTCTCAAAAGCTTTTCCACGTTTCAACCAGTTATCTCACGTTCTTCGACCATTAGGCTGTTCATGTTAATTGACCAACTCAAACAGTGTCAAGCTACCCAGGCTAATTGGGCTTATTTGTCCAACTGATTTGTGATTCGCCTTTCGAGCAATAAATGTTGAACACTGGAATTTAAAGTTCCATTCTTAATTCCGTTGCAACTTGGGGACGAGAGACTTTCTTCTTGGGCACTTAAGCTGCTAACTGTAAATGGTTACGAAACCAGTTTGAACATTTGATTTATGTTACACCCAAAGGCCAAAAGTTTTGGTTCTTGGTTACTTGGTTGACCACACCATCCGGCAAGGGCGATCCCACAATTTGTAGCTTTGCTTTGGCTTTGGCTTTTGGTTTTCTGGCTTCATTAGAAGGCGTTCGAAGAAAGAAGGGCGTTGACTTGGCTGGGATGCTGTTTGACTGCATTTTCCCCTCCAAGCTAATCGAATTGTGAACACGATAAGCATGCGAAGCATTTTTTAAAGTGGGTCAAAGGTTTATTAGAAAATCTGGTGGTGGGGGGGTAGAAATAATGCACACAAGCTCTTGGCATTTGGCTTAAAAGTTCTCAGAGTACTTGCAATAACAATAAAAAAAAATGAATAAATTCAAAAGCACAAGGGCGACAACTTGGCTGCTGGTCTGAAGGACGTTTATTTGGCTATGAAAAATATTCTTGTAATAAGCTAGTTTAAGATTCCTCTTGAAAGTATTTTCCCAACCACTTTAAAAACCCGTAAAAAAAAAGAACCCAAGTTGACCATAAGTTTTATATCTATGATTCATGGCTTACGCATGCCGTAGACAAGAGAAGGGCAGAAATCACCAAAATAAAACCAAATCACGCACTAAAAGTAAACATGATTTCAGAAAATGACAACAATCGGCTATAGCTGGTTATAGGAAATCGAAGAAGGGTGTGGGGGCCTCTCTCCATCCGGAAGGGTTCATTCAACCAATAAGCGAGACACGAAACAGGTTCCAGCCGTAAAATCTGTGTACGTGTTTGCCAGAGAATCAGATTCGACTGCAGTTTGCTTTGATAAAAATGAAAAAATAATATAAAATATGGGGAGCGAGAGAGATATTTCTTCTTTATCAATGTTTGCCTGATACGAACATATTTATTTTCACTTTGTGATATGGTAATTAATACGGGGTAGCTGCTAGATCGGGGTATTTTCCATGACTAAAGCAAACAGAAATCACTGCGCGTTGGGGAAGTATAATAATTTCAAACAAATCAAATCGATGAAAGATTACTCCTTTGAAAAGTAACCGACTTTGCTCAGGGGCTTAGTTTAAATAGTTGATAAATTATGGTGAATTAACATCGCCAAATTAAATTTCGTCTGGCACTTCGTTGACCCTTTGACCATTCTTCTGGGTCTGGTGCTACATCCACCCTAATTAATTCATTAAACTCTTTCACAGCTGCCCAGTGGACCACAGTGAAGCACAGAGGCTATTATAAATCATACGCCACATGGCTGTCGCTCCACTGAGTGATGAAATGCCGTGCTAGAACATGGCGATTTTTTCCAGTTCGTTTTTAATTTAGCATTAAACAATTAACCCTGGGATGACAAAACAAGCGCAGTCAATGACACTTTTATACATCGGTGTACATATATCTATATCTGTAGGAGGGAGGCGAGCATATAACAATTTGTATTGCATAACCACAATCAAGAATCGACGTAGAGTGGGAGCACAGTCAATGTAATTAATTTTTACTATGCCCTCAAAAGGCCATCGACACTTGTTGCATTCCGGCCAGAATGCCGATGACTTTTCCAACAGTCTAGTCTTTCAGTGTGTGTGACACCTCGGAAATCCCATTACGAAAGTTCCATCCTTTCATCCAACACAAAAGCAAAGGCAATACCCCATCCCCACAGCCATTTCCCATCATCGATAGTTCCATATTTCTATGCCAAAATGTAGGCTAAACTTGCATTTCCATCACTGTTATGGATTGTGCATTCAGGATATTGGTGAAGGTAGTCTGTTGTGGGATATGGTTGATGGGGGAATCGTTATGCAGAGAGATTAAATCGAAATGGGACGAGAGCTTGCCTTAAAATAATAATTGGATTTTTCATTCGGAGCTGGTTTTTCTGTGGAATATTGCAGAATGTGGGATGTCCGAGAAAAACCATTTTGATGCTGACTTTTCGAACTTCTAGTGGAATTTCAAAAGCATCTCCCACTACATTCAACTCTTCATTTTATGAAAAGTTCACAACAATTTTCCCATTAGTTATCCTCACTTTTAGGTATTCATTTAAAGGTTTCAAAACTAACATTACAAAATGCATTTTGTAAAAGTTCACACGCTGGAGTGATGGTCAGAAAAGGATACACGTTTTATGGCTTCCTTTTTTTTTTTGCTAGTACTTGATATAACATTATAATTATTCCCGCCATACGCTTCTGTCTGTCTGCTGTCCTTCTTTTTTTTGGCTGGGCTAGGGGTCTTATCAACCACCATCGTGTTCCTCTGCCCCTTGGTCCCCTCTCCGCATCCTCGTCCTGCGAGGGTTGCCCTCTACTGCAGGAATTTATAATTTTTAATGCTCTTCCTTGTGTCGGTGGTCGTGGGAACTTTTTGTTTTTTTGTAAAATAAATTTGAAATATATCAGCCAACTTTTTGTGTGAATATTTAGTGAAGCAATTAAACGTTGTGTGCGTGTGCTTGTGTATTTTACATTTTTTATGGCTAGTGGGAGCCCAACGATAATGACTTCAATTAGGCACCATAATAAGGTGCAATGAAGCATGACCTGAAGGATTTACAGCCCGGAAATGAGGCTTAGTTTTTGTTCAGGCAGATTTTCAAGGGATTTTGGAAGCATTGTAGATTATAATACTGTTTAAAATACGTTGATTTTGGTCCAATTTTTTATTCAGATTTTTTTATTAATTTAGTCCACCGTATATTTCCCAAGTTTGAACGTCAAACACTGAATTCCTTTTCTGGCAATAAAATGTGTCGCATCAAGGCCCATAAATTACAGGTTAACCCCCCTGGAGCAACTTAAGTTAATTCCAATGAGCTTTTCTAAATAGTATCTGCAGCCCCCAGCTAAGCAACTAAAGAGAAAAGTGGAGGGGTATTAAGACGGGCCAACATTTGGGCAAACCAAAGAGCTCACTGGATAATAAATCTTCAGAGAAAACAGACAACTCCCGCTATGTTTTGCTTTTTCACCTCTTTTAAGTTGGTTACTTTAAAGGAAGTGCGCAAAGAATTCGCAAACCAAAAAGCCGAAAGAGGTTTAACGTAAATAATGAGACAGCAACAAAAGATCTCACAGCATCTGGCCGAGACTTGTGGAATTTTAAGGGAAGCATGCGATTTTTTTCCGATGACGCAATTTAACTGTTCAAACACAGCTACTTCTTCTTATGGTAAGCCCAAAACAATGACAATAAGAATAGAAGCCGGGAAAGGGTAGAAAATAATTGCCAAGAAATAGAGTTTCTTGAACTCCGTGGGATTTCGCATAAAGGATCCTTCGATCTTGAGAATCCTAATCGCTCGCTTGGGTTACTTCATGCACGGATGCTTAGGAATTTCACACGCTGACCCAAATGCACCCCTAAAACGGATAAATACCCGGATTGGGGGGAGCGAATTCCTATGCACCCATGTCCTATGCAGGCAGGGTTCTAATTGCACAGGGGTGTAGGGCGCAGGGGTTTTGTCATTGAGGGAATGCATTATACGAGTGGGTATGAAAGTGAGCATAATTATTAGCTGTCAATTGGGCGTTGATCTGACCATTATG